TTTTGCAGTGGCAGATGCCTGCTCAGCATAAGCCGGGTGAACAGTTCTTCCTTCCTGCTCCCCCCTCCACTCTCCATATTTACCATCTGCCATCTGTTTTCACCGCCCCAAGTTGCATTCTTCGTTCCTTTTGTAACGCTACTCTGCAATTCCATTTCCATTATCGGGGAGTAAGAGACTATCCGAGCACATTTCTTTAACGGATTAACTGTAATCACTGCAGCCGATTTTTCGCTGCCTACCTGAATTTCTCAGTTGGCACGTTGAGTGCTCCTCTCAGTGAATCCAAAACGTTGCATCTGTCCTGCCCTCCCCTTCTTTGATCTATTTCAATTGGTCGGTGATCGAACATAGGCGGTTCTGCCTCCGATAACGGTAGTGTCAGTTGTGTTACCTGGGGAAAAGTGAATGCTCAGTTCAGCGAGATGAATGTATAGAATTTGCATTCCCATGGCGGGCAGCTGTGGGACATTTATTGAGCGTTGTGACTCGATTTGTATTCTTGATGTTGCTGGGGACGCGTTGGTTTCCTGGAAATGTGTTTCTTTATTGTTGGTATCGTAATTTCTTAATGTTTTCTCGCTTGCTCGCTCCTGTCTGTTCTGTTTGGTCTGACGGATTGCAGATGCGCCTTTTACGCCAGATTGCGGTGGCCGCGGCCGATTTTTTGCCATTTTCCGTTTTCTTTATTTTGGGATTATTCTATGGAGGTTTCGGGGTATCTTTGTAGTGTCATTTCTGGCTTCCCTGTCAGTTGAAACCTCTGACAGGGTTATCCCAAAGGACATTTTCAGGAGACATTTGTCTGACAGCCTCACAACGCGGTTGACCAATGACGAATAGGTCTTTCCTGCCCAAGTAATAGACCTGGCCCTGCCCATAATTCCTGGTGAGGTTAATATTTTCGTTTTCTAAACCTTACCGAAACCAGATTATTTATCTTAGCTCTACCCTAGACTTTAAAAGTACGGTTAACTCTAACCCTACCGTTAATGCTGAACACCATCCAAACCTGACCTTTATCCTAAACTTATTCCTTCACTTCATCTAATTTGTCCGGTATTTGACGCAAACACACCTGCCTACCGAGCAATTCCTGTTTTTATGTCCTGTTTAGGGCGGGACCACATCCGCAATCCTTACCGATTTGCTTACTTTTAGTCTAATAGACAGTCGAAGTTTCTGCGCTGTGGATATGTTAGGATAGGAAATGGCCCTAGACACCTTCAGCTTCACATTCCGGAGGTTATCGTGGCGGTTCCGTGCAAAATTCTGTCAATGAGCTAGATTCCTTTAAACATCGTAGGTGTTGTTCTGTCGTAGATTTTTGCAGAGCAAATCTGTCCTCACAGGCTAGACAACGAAGACAACTGCCAACATATGCTGACCGTGCCATGCACTTACAATTGCCAGTGCTTGATGTTTTATGACCGTTTTGTTCCTACAGATTATCAGTCCTAGTAGTGTGCTGATGCAGACGACAAGGCTTACAAGCGAGTGCACGTCTGTATGTCCGATGTCATTAAATGTGCTGACGTCAACGAGCATATTATCGATCTCGGTAGATGAACGCTCACCGAGCGGTCACGTGACACACTCACTCGCTCCGTTCCACC